GAACATTGATTTTGAAACTTGTGAATCCATTAGAATCGTTAGAAGACAGAATCGCGATTCATATATAGAATTATAGAAATCGATTTTTACGTGCACCTCTAGTTTTCTCTTCCTCTTCTCTAAAGCAGTGCAGCATGGCCCCGCCCCCTTTGTTGCATGTTCCCGAGGGCGGGGTTTATCAGGGTTTGTGATGTCAGGAACCCGGGAAGTAACTCGTTGTAGTCCCTACCAGCCGTTTTTGTAGGCATTAAACTGCCAGAATTTTAAAAGACGATATCTCCGTTTGCATTGAACTTTCAGCGCTGCAACTTTGCAGATATTGTTTATGCTCAAACAGCAACATTACACACTAACTAACATTCAAAAAGTGAAATCGCAATCAACCACCCCTTTAAGCAACGGTACCTGGCAAGATTTAGTCAGTAGTCACTGTCATGTGAATTTACAATACAAATATAAATCTAATGTGACTTTCTACTACACCAACTCGGGGGGGAAATTCTCGTTCCCGAATACCCCAAAGTATACTGACGGTGTCCCGTCAAGAATCTACTAAAGCAAGAAGCCGTGGTTTACAGTGAATTTATAACAGCTAAGGGGCGTTGTTAGGCACGAGTTATTCCATAAAACGGTTATTCCATATACGTAGTAAGGTTTCACAGAATAAAACAGAGCAAATAAAGTGTAATGATATACATAAAAACAGTATTTTTCCACCAAACAATGTAGTACCTCAGAAACAGTTGTGGTTCCAACAAAGTGGTTGCCGAGCAACACACAGAAGTAAACAAAGGTGTAGCTTCTAACGCAGCTCAACCTGCCAAATTATTACCCCTCTCGTTGAAATTGCTATCTGATTGCCTAATCCTAACCCCTCCCCCAAACCTAACCCTAAACCTACCAATACTAGGGGGGTAATAATCTGGCCGGGGTCAGAATTGGGCACAACACCGGAACTATCCGTTTTATAATATCACTTTCCAATGAGTGCTGGGCAGGTTACTTACAAATTATAGTCAGTTACTGATTACAAATTACTTGATGAAATTGTAGTGTAATGTAATCTATTGGATTACACATGTTGGGTAATGTGTTCTATGTTTTTATTACTTTTAGATTACTTTTGCCCTAGCTCAACATTATTGATAACATTATTTGTTATCAACTCCATGAAGTGTATTAAACCTTACATTATGCCAGGCTTTCTCAAACGAGTTTGTAAATAAGCTGCAGGGGGTTTATTAGTTGATAAAGAGCAGATTAATTATTTAAATCATAAAAATGCCTAATTTGACTAATTAGCTCATTTGAAAATAATAATCAAAATAAACACTTAAAAACAGTAATACTTTATTTGTTTTTCTGCATGTCAATGTGATTCACTCGCGCTTTGAGTGCCCAGAAAAGCGCTATATAAATGTAAGAAATTATTATTATTATTATTTAAAAAGTTATGCGTTCTGTTTGGTATGGATGTGTGGATTACACTAATAAATTGAGAATTTGTGCATTTTGATTTGTGTGTAAAAAAAACGAAAAGCCCTCCAAGACATAATAAATTGGTGACGATAATAAAAAAAAAAAACAATAATAATCAAATAAAATAATAATCAAAATGTGCTCATCAGACGTTGATTAGATTTGCATTGTTGAGGAATAAAGTGTACCTCCACATGTTTTTTTTTTTTTTAGATCCTTTGCAGTCGATAGGAAACCTATTGATAGGGCAAACAAATACCAAATGTGACCCTGGAGCACAAAAGCAGTCATAAGTAGCACGGGTATATTTGTAGCAATAGCCAACAATACATTGTATGGGTCAAAATTATCGATTTTTCGTTTATGCCAAAAATCATTAGGATATTAAGTCAAGATCATGTTCCATGAAGATATTTTGTAAATTCCTCACCGTAAATATATTAAAACTTGATTTTTGATTAGTAATATGCATTGCTAAGAACTTCAGATTTTTTTGCACCCTCAAAAAATAAATCAATTTTGGAAAAATTGACCCTTATGACTGGTTTTGTGGTCCAGGATCACACATGAATAATTTCCTGCCATTGTGTGAATGATGTGTAATGTGTTTTGTAAAAAGTAAATGTAATCTGATTATGAGCATTTTAACATGTAATATAATCTAATTACAAGTGCTTCATTTTTGAAATCTGATTACGTAATCCAGATTACAAGAAATCAGTTACTACCAGCACTGCCAGTGAGCACCAGGTCTTTAGCATCTGTACACTTGTTTCAGCTAAGTGTAAAATCTTTAGTACTTCTTTTTCCAAAGCTACAGCATAAAAGACAAAGAAAAATCAGAAACTAATAAACTCATTAAAACTAATAAAGGAATTCACAAAAATTCCATCTGGCTAAAAACACTTTCTTTGCCACTATTTTAAAGAAAACATTTCATTCTCCATCAAAGATTCCCACCACAGAATCTGTTCATCTCTAAATGGACAGCAGAGGGTGATGTGGGTCTGAAAAAGAAAGTCCATTTCTATAACCTCACTTTAATGATTCCCAACCTCGGGTACCAGTAGAGTTTTCCCCCCTATAAAGCAGAAATACTTTAAAATGGTCAGTTTTAGTGTTTTTTTCTTTTTCTAATAAGTCCAATGACATTTTTTATGAAGTAAAATTTACATCTCAAATCTTCATTTTGTCAATGACACTAGAAGTGGATATATACAGTATGTGCACAAACATAAACATGCACTGGACTGTACAGGCAGCTTCCTTATCCACCTTTTTCTTCAACGCGGAAGCAAGCCTATGGGTGAGACTTCCGGTTCATTAGCCGCTATAGGTAAATAACGAGGAGAATAACAACGTGCAGTAAACGGTAAAACTGTTTGCACTACAAACCAGTGTGTTCATTATTAAGATAATACATTAAAATAACACGATAAGACACACCAACTTTCAATATCAAGCAGCAAAACGAACTGTTTTCGAACTGTTGGAGTGGACGCAGATGAGACCGGAAGTCAGACGCATAGAATTTACAAATGGCCGCGCCCATTTTTACGATAAGAAAAAGGTGGATATATGATTCAGAAAGAGACTTAATTGAGTTCATGATAGCTTGTGTTCCTAAGTTGTAGTTTTATGAGCAAAACCTCATGTGCAAGCTTAAGGCTTGGCTGAATTTCTAATAAAAACAGTTTTATAGCTGGGAGGGATCTTACTCTGATGTACACGGAAAGGAAGCTTTATAATGTGGAATTTATTTTGATGAATCATTAGGACATTGTTTTCATCAGTGTTCAACGAAGAGCCTGCCAACTGCATTTACAAGAATAAACATTTTCTAATATAAAACAGCCTAAGGTTTTGTAAAAAAAAAAAAAAAAAGTAATTTGAGACATTAAACAAACACAAAATATCAAAGTAAAATATATAATTTAGCAGAGTGAGTTTTAGGGAACAGAATACTTTGTATTGCAAGGCACAATTTGTAAGTTACCTTGCATACCTCAGCATACAGCAGTGCAATTTTGTATTTTATCATAGTTGATACAGGCAACTAAATTAGAATCAAGAAATGTGAAACAAACCTCAGTACAATAAACTGAAACTGCACTGGAATGTTCAATTAAATCATTTTCTCAAAAATAAGTCTGTAAAATATAATGTTTTATTTACCATGCAGTCATGCAAAGAACACAATCAGTATAAAAAAAAGAATATATTGACTGCAAATGCAAGGGAAAAACATCCCATTTTAGTCCATTAGGCTTTAATTAGTACTTTGAAGAGAGAGGACAACATCTATTGTTACCATATGAAAGTGAAAACAGTGGATGTAAACAGCCAGGTCTGGTTTCTCCTGTGTTGCCAAGAGCTCAGCAGCCACATCTGTTTGTTCTAGTGGGGAATCTTCAGGATCCTGGGTTGAGGTGTTTTAGAGCCTCTGTTGGCCACATGCTCTGGGAATAAAATGCATGCACTATTACAGAGAAATTATGAAAAGTAATATAAAATACAATCATTTAATGCAGTGGTTCCCAACCCTGGTCCTGGAGGCACCCCAAATTGCATGTTTTGCATGTCTCCTTAATCAAACACACCTGATTCAGATCATCAGCTCATTAGTAGAGACTCCAAGACCTGAAATTGGTGTCAGAGAAAGGAGACATGCAAAATGTGCAGTGTTGGGGTGCCTTCAGGACCAGGGTTGGGAACCACTGATTTAAATGACCAAACAGGGGCCTTTATAGCTTTAAAAAAGTACAAATAAAAATGCAAATTAGTACAAATATTATTATATCACAAAGTTCTGTCATTATATTCAGTATTTAGTGTGCTTGTGTAGGTCTATATGTATTGCATCTGGCAAATCAAACAGTAGCGGTTACATGAAAGGACATAATAAAGATGTCATTCATTCATACACGATTACACATCAGTTGCATTTAAGAGGTGTGCATGACTAGACGTGAATGTGTAGGAGCTGCTTCTGGTGGTTGTCAGAAGTAACACCAGAAGCTTTAAATGATCCCACAGCAGGTTATGGCTGGCAGATGAAAACAAACACATGTCAGTTGTAATTAAAGATGTCGGTTGTAATTACAGATGCTTAAGCATACAATTAACCCTGTACTAGCACGTGAAAGAGCTCAAATGATGATTTATCCCCATTGATGTATTTGGGAACACTGTTAAATATATATCATTTACATATTCGTAAGAAACATATAATTGGGGAGATACATTTCAGAGAAGGAAAAAAAAAACAGTTGCTGGTAGCCATTGACTTCCATAGCATTTTTTTCAATACTATGGAAGTCAATGGGGACCAGCAACTGTTTGGTTACCAACATTCATCAAAATATCTTATTTTGCGTTCAACAGAAGAAAGAAACTGGAACAACGTGAGGGTGAGCAAATGATGACAGAATATTCATTTTTTGGGTGAGCTATCACTGTATTGTGAAACAAATACAACAATAACAATAAATAATAATAATTGATGAGAATGGTGATGATTGAATTCCCCTTTGAATTTTGATGCCTATTTGTGTCCATCAAACACCATGAGAAATCTATATTCTCTACATTTACCTGTCTAATATGGAGCAGATTTTAAAACTATTCTCTGGATTACAAGAGACCCAAGCTTAAGTGTCTTTAGGATTTTTCTATTCTACGCAGTGCACAAGCTGCAATGGAAACTCAGAGGTTTTTATTTCTCATCTGTCTGATGATGTGTGGAGGAGACACTGAAAGTGCACCTGAAATCTGCACAGGAGCGCACTGCCAAAGGTCTCCATCCAGATCACCTGATCACCAGAGCAGATATTCAATTTATGCTCCAAGACGCCCATCGGTTCCCTACACGGTAATACATCCGCAGCACAGTAGGACTGGCAGTCCGAAAGTAAACCCAAGGACCATCACGGCTGAGGTGTTTAACCCACAGGGATGCACGGGAAGAGGTTGTCATGGCTCGCCGAACTTCCACCACAGGTTTCAGAGCACATGTTCCCTTCCAGACAGACAATATAACCACTTTAGTAGTTTAAAATGTTTGTTTTATTCACATTTTTGCTTTCACGGGTGGGAAACAGTTGTCGGAACTAACCATGTGGACAATGTGTTTGGCTCCACTCTGATTCATTCTCTGGATTACAAGAGACCCAAGCTTAAGTGTCTTTAGGATTTTTCTATTCTACGCAGTGCACAAGCTGCAATGGAAACTCAGAGGTTTTGGATTGTTGCCTGCTCCCTCAGGCAGTTTGTAGAAGCATGTCAGTTTCATGACAATATTAAAGTGTGCATGTTATCAGTAATTTATTGTGACTCAAATCTAAAGCAGCATTTCAACAAAAAAGTCATGCTTTTCTTGAAATTTTGACCAGGCACAAATGAGGTCCATTCTGAAGATGCATTAGTGTTGCATTTGCACTTGGCAAAAGGTCAGGATAAACTGGTGGCCCAGTTGCAAGGGCAGCAAGCTGAAGTTAAGCAACTTCAGAACACGCTGAGAGAACAGCAAAATGCTCTACTAGCCCACCAAAGAGAAATACTGGAGAATTCAGTTAACATGCGACATCAAACCAGGTAAACAGCGATTGTGTGCTTGGTATTATGAGACCAGTCCTGTGTTTCTGTAAAAGAGGTAATAATACACTTGTTAAATTGCAAACCATGTGGTCATGGCCATGCGAAATTTATTAGATGTTGGATTGTTGCCTGCTCCCTCAGGCAGTTTGTAGAAGCATGTCAGTTTCATGACAATATTAAAGTGTGCATGTTATCAGTAATTTATTGTGACTCAAATCTAAAGCAGCATTTCAACAAAAAAGTCATGCTTTTCTTGAAATTTTGACCAGGCACAAATGAGGTCCATTCTGAAGATGCATTAGTGTTGCATTTGCACTTGGCAAAAGGTCAGGATAAACTGGTGGCCCAGTTGCAAGGGCAGCAAGCTGAAGTTAAGCAACTTCAGAACACGCTGAGAGAACAGCAAAATGCTCTACTAGCCCACCAAAGAGAAATACTGGACCAACAACGGATTATGTTTGAAAAGATGGAAGAAGTCAAGACCCAATACAACCTTCTTCTTGACGGGGTCAAACAGTTATCTGTGCAAGGCCCACAGGGCGTCATTGAGAGCCATTTGGATGGTCTCCAGTCCCAGGTTAGGACCTTTTCTCAGGAGGCCTTCGCAATGCATAAGATGAACATGGATGCTAGTGTTACAGATGCTGACAGACCTCTACTTGGCTGTGGATCCTGCCGAGCAGATGAGTACTGCGACTTCAGTGCAGACCGGCCACATTGTGAGAAATGCACTGTTTGCCCTCCGGGATTCTTTCTGGTGGCTCAATGTTCCATTCACGCTGACAGGATTTGCCAGGTACATCTTCTGCTCTATTGATGTAGCAATACGCTGTCATTGAGGTTTATGCAAGTTTAAATAGTGCAAATGAATACACTTGCTGACAAAACTTGTAGTCAAATTATCAGGTAAACATCTTATCAAATACAAGTTAACAACTAAAATTGTCCAACAGGACAGAGACGAATGCCTGGAGATACCAAACTTATGTAAAGAGCGCAACCAGTGCCTCAATACACCAGGTAAGTTGGCTACCAGACTTCCAGACTTGTTTAAAGGGGACATCAGATGCAAAATTTGCATATAAATGTGTCTTAGCATTTTGCGGACACAACTACCCTACAATGATAAAAATCCATTTACTCCTTTTTTATAATCCCCAAAAAACCTAAACCGTTTCAATGATCAATTATCATTTCTGAGCAGCATGACATCATACTGCTCAAGGCCGGCCCAGTTGCAAGGGCAGCAAGCTGAAGTTAAGCAACTTCAGAACACGCTGAGAGAACAGCAAAATGCTCTACTAGCCCACCAAAGAGAAATACTGGACCAGCAACGGATTATGTTTGAAAAGATGGAAGAAGTCAAGACCCAATACAACCTTCTTCTTGACGGGGTCAAACAGTTATTTGTGCAAGGCCCACAGGGCGTCATTGAGAGCCATTTGGATGGTCTCCAGTCCCAGGTTATGACATCATATTGCTCAAGGCCCGCCCATAACTGCTGACGGACTGTCCCGTATTAGCATATTACCAGAGATTGTCTTACTATATGGAGATGAGAGGGTCTGTATTACTTACTGTTGGCGAAAGTGTAACGGTTAACTTGGATCACGTGTGCCTTAATAACCAATCACTTTACGGCCTTGATGTCACTGAATTTCATTGTACGACACTCAATTGCCGTTTACGGATACCATAGGAATGAATGGGAAGTGCCGTAATCTGAATCCCACCTGTCGCAAAAAGTCAGTGACTTCTCTTGTAAAACAGCATTTTTTTTTTTTCGTGGTAAACTCTAAAAATAGTTCAATCCACTTATCTAGTGTAAGATTAGCAGATAGGCTGTCCATTCATTAAATGATAAGTGTTTCCTCTAAAAAGCTGTTTATTCCGCGTAGTGAAGACTCTCCTCCATTGACATCCATTCATAGCTCATTAGCATTTAAAGAGACATGCACCGAAATGGCTCACTGTGAACAGAGCTGTTTTTGACAAGGTAAAAAAGGGTGTTGTTTTACACGACCATTGAGGAATCTTAACCATTTCATCAAGACCCTAAAGAATCATACCAACTTGTGGAAAATGGGAATCTGATGTCCCCTTTAAGATTTACTTTCTAAGAGATTTACTTTCTAAAAGATTTACTTTCTAAGCATAGTGCATTGTTTCAGGGGGATTTCGCTGCTCCGGCATGTCAGAGAGGGAAGCAGCCGCCAGGATGTGTGGGCACTCTTATTTTTACAATTCTGAGATGGAGGAGTGTCAAGCCTGTACAGAATGTGATTCTCAGCCAATGACATCCCCATGTTCAGCCTTGAATGATGCCGTGTGTGCCAACCCCTCCGAAAGCAAACTCTCGCTTTCTTGGTCTGGAAACGTTGACCTAGCAAAGGGTACTGCTTTTCCTGAAATGCAACTTCACATCCGTGGTAACAGTGACGGAAGCCTTCTTTCCTGCACTGATGGTTGGATAGTGCTCCACCAGCATGGGCTTGTTTGGGTTGACCATAACCTTGCTTTAAAACACGGCTGCCGCAGCTTCATTCAAGCGTGTTTAGCTGAGCTGACCCGTGCATTCAAGCCCGGCGTTCACTACAGAGACACATCTATTTCTCTCTCAGCAGCCACCACTGTGGATTCTGGGGATATGCTCACCTTTGAGATCCTTGCACCCGCACAGTGCAATGTGCGCTACTTCGGTGACGACTCTGGGATTAGCATGCTCAGTCTGGTGTGGATCCCTTCAGCCGTGTCCACTGCCTTGTCGGCCTCTGTGTCCAGGAAAGGTCTCCCCTCTGGCGCAGTGCGGAATAAAGCCTTGTTCTTCCATCAGACAAGTCCAGCGGTTCCACAAGTTGCACTAGCTGGAACCAAAGATCACAGAGACTTCATCTTTCGGGAAGCAGGGACGGCAAGTGTGGCTTTAGATCTGCGGCTTATCCACTCATGCAGCCTAATCAAACTCACCTTGCTCCAACAGAGCGGGTCTCAGGGGGTTCAGCCAGCTCCTGTAGCTCAACAGATTGGTGGACACATGCCAGAAGGAAGCGTATGGGCAAGTGTGGGGCTGAGGGTATCGTTCCAGGTGCGTAATGGCACTGTGATCTTCGCTACGGTGGACTGCGTCAGAGGGCGCATCAACCAAATTGCCCATGATGCTGGAAGTAGCATGTCTATCCTCTGGACAGTTGCATAATCCTAGCATGTATCTGCTAGCATGACGTCAACCCTGTTGAAAAAAAAAAACAGCATATGCTGGTTAGGTATGTTTTCATGCATGGTAGCTGGTTTGAGCTGGTTTAAGCTGGCCCTGAGCTGGTTATAAGCTGGTTATGAGCAGGAGCTAGTTGCTTAGTACCAGCTCAAGACCAGCTTAAACTAGCTCAAACCAGCTGCCATGTATCAAAACATATCTAACCAGCATATGCTGCTTTTTTCAACAGGGAAGCTACTTTTAGATTATGTTTTTATTTAGATGCAATTGATTGGGTTTCTTTTGAAAACATTTTCTAAGCTGTCCAACCAATTAGTAGCTTGTTTCAGAGTAAATTTCTGGTTTAAGTAGCATCGTGTCATCAAGTATGCTTTTTAAAAACTTTGCTGAGAAAAAAATTGTGAAAATATTATGAAATAAACATTTATTCTTTTTTTCTTTTTTTGCTATACAAATCTTTGTGTAATAGGTCTTTGTATGGTTTAATGTTGTTAAAATAATTGCATCTACCAGTTTTATTCAGCAGTTTTCCTTTCATTATATTTGCACTTCATAAAACTTCATTATCTAAATGTATTTCATTAATTATTTGCTTTGTTGTCCTCATAAGTGAGGGTATGTCGTACAGCATGTTTTGTATCTTGCTTGTATCTTTGAATAAAACATTCAGTGGTAGCCGTATGTTGTTGTTTTTCATTCAGTTTCCAATAGAAGTTTATAATCAGTCACAAAACTTTGATTTACTGTTATAACCATTTATTACATCTTTGCAGGATTTAGTTTCAAGACTTTTTTCAAATGTCAATCCAGATCCTTGCACAACAAAAGCAGAAAAAGGTAGTAAACATTCTCCAATTGTAGCAGCAGGGATCAAATGCAGGTGTTTGTGGCACAAAGAACCAGATGGCTTTGATTGTGCTCTTTAATATGCAGGTTTTATATAAAACAGAATAAAAGTAGCCCTCTGGCCGTTATATATGTGTGTTGTTATTCTTAAAGCAGAAATTATGACATTTCATTTATTACAGGTAACAGTAACACCAAATCAAACGCATCCTTAATGTTTCATAGCTGAAAGCATATCCTGAAGCTAAACTAGAACTGAAAATAGGTTTATAATCTTAGGAAGCATGTACACAGACTTGCGGTTTTCCAAGACATTTGGTTAATATTAAAAGCTTCTGGGAGCAGGAGATGACGTTGATTTAAAGTTATTCCATAAGGAGAAGAATGTGATAGACTGAACCCTTCAAAGGGCCAACGTGAAACACTGAATTATGGCTACTTTAACAGGGTCAGGTCAGTGCTCACAGACGGCCCTCACCATACAGCCCGCTCTAAAACTTCACACAGATGGAAATCAATCAGTGTTTAAGAAAAGAAATAGATGGTTAATATCTGATTTAACCATTGCTTGTTCGATTGTGCTCTTTAATATGCAGGTTTTATATAAAACAGAATAAAAGTAGCCCTCTGGCCTCCGTTATATATGTGTGTTGTTATTCTTAAAGCAGAAATTATGACATTTCATTTATTACAGGTAACAGTAACACCAAATCAAATGCATCCTTAATGTTTCATAGCTGAAAGCATATCCTGAAGCTAAACTAGAACTGAAAATAGGTTTATAATCTTAGGAAGCATGTACACAGACTTGCGGTTTTCCAAGACATTTGGTTAATATTAAAAGCTTCTGGGAGCAGGAGATGACATTGATTTAAAGTTATTCCATAAGGAGAAGAATGTGATAGACTGAACCCTTCAAAGGGCCAACGTGAAACACTGAATTATGGCTACTTTAACAGGGTCAGGTCAGTGCTCACAGACGGCCCTCACCATACAGCCCGCTCTAAAACTTCACACAGATGGAAATCAATCAGTGTTTAAGAAAAGAAATAGATGGTTAATATCTGATTTAACCATTGCTTGTTCAGATCCCATCGATTTAGAAAATCAGACATGCAAATTTAAATTGATTAGCTTAGCTACGCTAATCTTCATTCCTACCCAATTTTGAATAATGTGTAAAATGTTACTAATATAATGTATAATGTATAATCTAACGCATTACATGCGCTCTGTCAGGACAGCTGACATGAGCCTTGTGGCCTTCTCTGAGTGCAAGGGTTAAACGTCTGGTGAAGTGATGGTACAGGTGTTCAGTGTTAGAGGATGTGATAATACTACTGCTGTGTTGAAGCGTGTATTGACTTGAAGTAAAACATCTGGAAATGTTTAGGCTTCATTGGGGGAGCTTAAAGTGTTGGATTCCTTAGGTTTACTCTAAGGGTTTGGTGAACTGTCCTCAGCCTATAAGTGAGAATAGATTGATCAATTATTCAAATATCATATGATTTTGATGTACCTAGAGTCTTTTAAAGAAATGTTTCATCTAAAAATCTGAAAATTATTTTTTACAAAAGAAGATATTTGGAAAACGTTTCAGTGTTTTGTTTTTTGAAAGTCAGTTGTGATATATGTTATGTGGACTTCAAAATATCTTCTTTCAGAGAAAAGAAAGAAAGTGTGCATTATAAGATATTCTTTATAAAAGTTAAGAGTCAACCACGCCTACCTAAAACGGCTCGTTCTAACACGCCCCCACATGCCTACATCACGATGTGGGAAGATTTGCATAACGCCGCCCAAATGTTCACGCAAAGAAAGAAGGCGTAACTTTTATTCTCGCTGTAGTATTGTTGCCGCCGCCGAGTGCAAGGGTTAAACGTCTGGTGAAGTGATGGTACAGGTGTTCAGTGTTAGAGGATGTGATAATACTACTGCTGTGTTGAAGCGTGTATTGACTTGAAGTAAAACATCTGGAAATGTTTAGGTTTCATTGGGGGAGCTTAAAGTGTTGGATTCCTTAGGTTTACACTAAGGGTTTGGTGAACTGTCCTCAGCCTGTAAGTGAGAATAGATTGATAAATTATTCAAATATCATATGATTTTGATGTACCTAGAGTCTTTTAAAGAAATGTTTCATCTAAAAAAGAAAGAAGGCGCTGTAGTATTGTTGTTGCCGCCGCCGCCATGTCGTGAAGGCGCTGTGTGTTGCGTTGTGAAAGCGAAACTACCAAAAGAGGACACGATTCAAATATATTGTGAAAAAGGAACCTTTAATTAATGTTCATATATCATTTTTACAATTTGTAGTCTTTAATTATTAAAAAAAAAAAATCTGCATATTTGTATATATGTTCACTGGCCCCAATGCAATCTTTTGCAATCCCTTGTCTTCAGGTATATCAAGAAGAAACAAAATGATTATAATTTTTTATTATTATTTTCTAAGTCTCTAAAAAAAGAATCCACAACAGGGGTGTGTTTAATCTAATTTAACATGCTTTATTCATAATGTGCACTCAATATTCTTTGACCACTAGTGGGATATTGCTCTCTAACTTGATATTATTAATCAATTTCTTCGCAGTTCTTTTCACATGATCTCCAAAAACAGACATATATTTTGAAGCATTGCAATAATAAGTACACAGCGCTGCTTTACAATATTAACAGTCACAAACGTATAACAACTGCTGATCAGAAAATAAATGCCCAGTGTTACAAAGCATTATCAAAGCCTGACGCACTAACCACCTTAGCTCTTCAGCAAGAAACTTTTAATATCAGCATCAGCCATATATCGACATATTTGGTCTACAGATGTGAAAACATACAAAGATCCTGTGTGAACAGACAGAGTATTAAATAAAGGATCACCCTTCGTGTTCCATGATCTGTCCTGTAAAAGAAATGGATGATGAAGTACTGAGCTGTTACTCATGACTTTGTCAAGGCACGTGTGTAGTGAGTTAATGCAGAGGTCAAATTTACTGCAATAAAAACTCTAAGACTGTCAAATGGAGCACCTTTTTAGTTTTGGGAATGTGTTATGGCAGCGTTGTGAGATGATTCAACCCATAATTAAGTACTGTCCTAATTGCACTCATGACAAAATGAGCTAACATGTGTTCTCTTGTACAGTACGAGGTGATCCTAAGTGATTGTGTATGTGTTTTTATAGGCAGTGTTTTTCAGAACTTTCTTACATCAGTAGGGTTAGTTATTGGCTCCACCTGACGGTGACTCAGTGAAGTATTTCTATGAGGAGGCGCTTAAAGTCACCACCGCACTCTGAGCTCAGGGCATCCTTCAGGGTCACGTCATATTTCTCCAAGTACATGTCTTTGATGGTCTCCAAATCCACCTGGAAGTGAACATGAAAGTGGAAAAGACTATATCATTTTTCCTTCTAGTACTTTCATGATATCAAGGCCATAATAATCTCTACCTCAGAGCGTCCCACAATAATACGTATGAGCGTGTCCTCGTCTGTCCCGGCTCCTTTCATGGCAGCGTTCAGACGACGGGCGAAATACAGCTGCGGGTTTTTAGCACATCGCACTGTTCGAACAAAAACAAATCACTTTGTGATCTGCGTGGCTATCGAATATCAGTCCTGCTGTATCCTTTTAGGCACTTACAGTCACTGCAATATGACTCTGATTCAAAAGAACGAATTTCCTAAAGGCTTTTGAATAGTTATAGTTACCCAGAGTAATGTAACAGTCCTTTAATGTTCCTGTAGCCTCACTGTCTATCGCATCCAGGATATCTGTTCCAGAGAGCTATGGAAAAACACAAAAGAGAAACCAGAAACTCAGAAAGAATGCTGAAAAGGCTCCTGTAAAGCAGCGGTGGGTATAGCTGGCGTTTGACCATACAGTTTCATATATCTTGAAGGTGGCCTGAAGCTGTAGGTAGTTCCTGTGAGTGAGGATGTAGGTGAAAGTGGACTCGTCTGTTCCAAAGCGGCCTTCACCTGCCTGTGGAAAACCAACAATAAGTAGGCTAGTCATTCATAACACAGGGGTTGCCAGGTTTGTTTGACAAAGATGGTCAAAAAGCCAATCAAATGCATCCCAAAACCAGACCAATGACCAATAAAAACAAGCCCAAAACATCCCAATACCAAAACACAAAACATACCACAGATTTTGGAGTC